AGCGTATATTTTACGGTTTGATTCTAGTTATTTAACGTATTCATACTATCTAAGCCGAACGAAACAATCTAATTTCAAACAATAGCTCGTATACTGTAGTTTTTAGCAAAATTTCCCATAGGGAATTAGATATTACCTTCTGGCATGGTAAGACTTTAACCCGGGACCGAATAACTTTTTCACATCGATGTCCACAGAGTCCAAAAACACTATTCGTTGTAATTGTTATGTATATCAATTGCTATCACTAATTAGTCCGCAGCAAACCTGCAGACTAAGTGAATTTCAATTTGTCTGATTGGGATTTTACAAAAATATTTCCATAAACAAGATATATGAGTATTATTCCCCCATTTAAATAGTATTAGATTTAACGAGTGCCTAGGTTTGCTGCTATGAGGAAGGTAAAAAGTGTTTGTTCACCAAATGTTAATAATAGTATGATTTCATAAATAAATTTGCCAAATTTTATCAACATGCACCCATAAACAAGCAAACAACAACAGTTTTTCCTCCATTATAATCCATAGGGGAATCTTAAATGTACAGTTTTGGGAAACTTTCTTTGTAACGCTTGATGTTATACAAAATAATTTATTTTAGCACTACAATATGGATATAATAAAAATTGACCATTTTAATGTTTTAAGAATAAAAATTTGAAAACCCCGTTTTTTTTATTTAAACACCTTATAATACCCCGTTGTTCCCAAGTTCCGTCCTTGCTGGTTCGCAAGCTCATTCAAGTTTATCCAGCACTTCACATTCAAACAAAATTTCATCAAAATCGGAACAACTCGAGTTAAGTTATCGCGTTCACGGACCCGGGACCAATTTACTTTTTAATAATATGTCCCTAGAGGGCAAAAACTGTGTTATTTCAAAATTGTATGTACGTATATACATATAACACTGTTTTTGCCTTCTACGGACATATTGATTAAAAAAATTGGTCCCGGGCCTCGGTCTTACCAAGCCACCTAGCCACCTACGGTAATAACCACTTCCCGGAAATTCGCTATAAGGAAAAGCGTGCCACAAAATCAAGATCATTATAGAGTTTTGATAATTTCTCTGTAAAAAAATATTTGTTCTTCTGTAAAATATCTAGCTATGTTTCCAAAACATTCAAAGTTGCTTATGTAAATAAAAGGGAAGGTGATGCTTTATAACAAAATGTATGGAATACTGAAAAAAATCTTGCTAACAAAATATTTTACACACTCCAGTGTAAAACTTTGAAGACTTATTTTGCTTCAACATTTCCGTCTCCGTTATTTAAACTTTTGTAAATCAAGTTTATTATCGTGACCTGATTGTTAAAACTTGGCATCATGACTAACAGACAAAACCAAAACAGACTAATATTTTTGCCCGTTATTATTGCAATCCTTTCGAGTTTCTGAAATCATTTTATCTCAGCCAACATAAGTTATTTTATCGTAACAGCAAACTTTTGAGGTTCTTTCCGCCAGTGTATATTTGTAAATAAATATACCATTGTTTAATGAAAAACTTCCTTGAAGCAAGTAAAACATACACGATACGTTTGTAAGTATTGAGTGTGTTTATTTTTTCATTCTTTATACCTATTTATATTTAGTTATGCTCAGCTGGGCGTATTCGAGTTGATTTAAGATACAAATTTACATTATCGGCCTATCTCTTAGAAATTCTTACCTGTAAAAATGCTTATTTATTTTCTAACTTAGTCCTCAGTTTTAACAATGGAAAGCTGAAAATGTATTGTTAAAAAGTGCAATTTTTACACATACTTCAATCTGTAATTAACTCTATGTACTAGGTTAGAAATATATACACTAGTCATTGCACGATGTTTGAAATAACGAGATTTAAATTAAACTAGTTGCTATGCCCGTGCTTCGCTACGGGGTGACTGGGGTGAGAATACAGAAAAGAATAATTCTGTTTTACTTTGAGATACTATAATATACTATAAGAAACTGTTACAACACACTTACCAGGAAACATATAGGCAAAGGCTCAATCGTGCTTATTGATTATTCAAATGAAGATCTCTCAATGTATTACAATACTATCATTTTATATAGTGTATGGCATTTAAAAAATATATGCTAAAGTATAATTCATTGACCACATGGCACCAAGAAACAATTTTCATTGTAAACAAATTAAATTAAATAGCAGAACAGCATTTCTGACAACAGCTGGAGTTTCATAACAATGTTTGTTTCCCATGTTAATCTTATGGAGAAATATGAAACTTTAAAGGGCCCCAGGGCCTTATTCTTTAATTATTTAGCTAAAAAGAAAGTTTCCTGCACAACTTCACGTTACGCTCTTTCCAATGACACCAAAAACATGTCAATCGGTTCAGTAGTTTCGGAGGAGTAATTGTCACAAAAAACTTGCTTGCGTATTAAATAAGTATAGATGAAAAAGATGGTAGATATTAAGTTTTACTAGTATCATAAGCCTCTCTAAAAGCCGCTGTGTTGAAGTGTGGCAACGTCGCAACGGCCTATTATTGCCATTTCAATTTCATTTACTGACGGAAATCCTTTAACAATTTAAGTTCGTAGAATTCATAGATTCCTGTATTAACAAGGTGTAATCGTGGAAACATTTCTCAGGAGCCATTGATTTTTAGGTTAGTGCAACAGCTGTTGCGTTAGGCCGGGGCGGCGGCGTTGCCACTTTTCTCCCCGCGTTCTTGTGTTGGGTTCTGCTAGCGTCTCATCTCTTTAGATATGTTTCCATAACATTTTGTGAACATACTGAAATCCAAAAACTTTATTTTTCAAAAGGTAATTGCAGTTCAAGTCAAATTGTACAGCGTTTGAGGACGGACAAGGTGCTGACGATTTTATGGACACTTTTACTTGAAAGTTCTGAACTTGGCAAGATGGTCACTTTCACGATGTCCGTTACATAAGCGGACATAACACCCAAATAGCCTTAATAAACGCCGCTGCCCAATGAAGATTATGTCGTTAGACTAGAAATCAAGTCTCATTCCGGGCCCGGTTATTAATTTTCACAAATACTAAAAATGAGTTTGACGCCTCCTGGACTCTCGCTTTCCAGATTCCAAAGACGGCGTGATTTTGAGCGATTTTCACTACATTCTTGTGGTAGGTATTTTATTTTACAATATAGAACTCTTTTTCAATGATATATGAAGTAAAACTAACTAATAGGTCAAATAAAAATGTCACACCAATGCTGGTCTAAGTCTCACGAAATGTATTATCAAAAGTTTGAATAGTAAAAAATATTAATATTTCCACATAGTTAAAAAAACAAATTTTTAATAGTAAATCCATCATACCGATTTAGGATATTGAAATCAGTTAATTTATAGGGATACTGACATAAAAATAATAAAACTCTTGAGTTTGAATACATACTTTTTCTTTGTTTCATTTTTTGGATATCCTAGAGAACGATTGTTAATTTTGATAAGGAGAAAGAAGAAAATACTTAAAATGTGCTTATACATTTTAAGCACAAAATTAATAAAGTAAAAATGTACAATGACAAATGATCTTCTATTGGGAATGAATCGATTTCAACTAACGTACACTTTACTTGCAAATAGTACATAAACTTCCATTATTTCATAAAATGTATTCCGATAGTAATGTTGGATATTTTATAATTCACAACCAAGATAACCTGGCCTGTTGAACTTGTAATAATTTCTGCTTATCAAGAAACCTTTTTACTATCGCTACATTAATAACTGTGGGTAAAACAAATAGTTTACTTTCTCAGTTTTAAGCCTCGCAGTTAATTCAAACTTCGTTTTAAAACTTTTTCTTACGGTCTCTAAGCCTATATATCCAGGTTGCCTATTGTAACTATATAGTTCCTAACTAACTAGGTGATATGAGGGAGGTTAAAAGTTATTAATAAGGTCAATCTACTTAAGCGACACAATTTGACTTCTAGGTTATACGGGATTTATATGGATTATATTGCCATTGGTTACGTTCAGTGTTGAACTTAATTGAGTGAGATTTATCTTTCTCCTGTTTTACTCTTTTTTATGGCTTAGTTAAATTTTCTCTGTTTTATTATATTTAATGGTTTGATTTTACAAAGATTTTACGAGGGCGATTTATTGAAAAATATAAGAATCTCAACTAATAACAGCAATACATTGCAGTATATTCTATCAACACATTTTGTACACATTTTTGGTTTCGGAGTGTTCTAAATTTGAATTGATTCGGAAACAGTGGTGTTGTGGAATTAATAACCGTTTGACAGATTCTATTACGAATATTAAATTGACTACAAAAAAGGAATAAAATTGATCCCTTAACGCAGCTGTTGTTGGTGAAATTGGCAGAGTTAAGCTGCAGCGGTTAATTTCCCCGATTATAAAAATCATATACAGACATAACATCATTAAATTGGGGGTAAGATAGATCACAACTGAATATAAACAGCTCAACCATATACAAACTCATTAGAATATAATAATATAACATTAACCATATGTCATAGGCAAATTAGGCAGGCAAGGTGAATATGAAAGATATACTTTACAACAGCTTCCCGTGGTATTTTCTTTAAACCCCAAGTGAGCCCCGCTTTTTCTATCAGCGTCGATTTTGATGCAATGTTTTTCACATATTAAATTTGTTGGGAACAAATGTTTTCCAACTCAAACAATGAAGAAAATAATTGAAGAAAATCATCACTTGAATAAAACTGGGTGCAAATATGAAACCTTACCCGTCTTTGCTATTTCCTTGTGTCAATCTCACAATATCTGCACGTTGCAGATCGGAGATTCGTTCAGGTTTATTTTATGTTGGTAATATTTGTGAAATTTTAACAATTCTTTTGAAGATAAAACTTTTGTCTAAAACAAAACTGTTGTTAAAAAGTGATAAAACTGTATCGAACTAGAGACCTTTTGGTTTTAGAATCGATCGATTCAACCATTTCTGCTAATTCAGTTCTAGGAATTGTGTATATTACTAAAGAGATTTAGTTCTACTTACATAATGTTCCAAGCTGTGATCGTATGTGAAGTGACTTGGACTCGAATTGACCAATGATACTAGACATATCACTGCGAGAACCTGAAAAATAGTATATTGAGTTAATAGCATGCACCTCAAAAGTGGAAATGTTATTTTCTCATAAATCTACGGTGGGATGAGCTAGGAAAAGTATTTTTTAAGATTCGCAGACAATTCCATGATCTACTAGCCATATTTCAAAATACATCTATATCATCAATACAAAATATCATCTATGGCTAGTAAAAAGTTACATGCTTGGATAAACCTATAAACTTATAAGTATAATGCTTACTGCTTATAAGTATATAAGCAGTATTATAAACATTTTCTTTGAGAAAAGGACAAATTGAGGTTACTGGGAAACTGTATAAATTACTATTATTTTTTTATCCTTTTTCTTACTAACTAACCAGACGAAAATAATATTATGTCAATTAATTTAGTTTCAGTTTAGTAATTATGTGCTTTTATCAAAATTGGTGTGTTTATTAATTTAACATATGTAAGTTTAATTTTGTGATTTGGTTATTTTATTAGTACGCAATGTTTTACGAGATCGCCGGCTAGATAATTGCATGTTGTATACATTCTACCTGTATTAAGCTAGTTATGTTATTAGCTAGTATAGCCAACGTGCAAATATTTCCCTTACAAATATTATGTTTTAATTAGGTGCCTTCTAAAAGAAAATATTTATGGTATTCCAAAAATATTGTTTCATATTACAGTACATGGTTATTTTATGAGCTGTTTGTGTAAGTCATGTAGTAGCATAATATGTTTACATTAGATTGACTCATCACAAATCAAATAATATTAAAATAAATCACAGACTTAATTTGTTTTTGGTTCTCAACATTCCGACAGATAACAAAATTTCTGATTTGTTTAGAGTATTATGCATTTTTATGGTTTGTGTATTTTGTTATTGCATTAGAAAGATTCAATTGTAATTAATTCATTATGCAACGATTGTCCCAGGGAACGAACTCAATCTTTATTATCAGGTCATTATGTAAAATTTAATTGTAAATGTACTTAAAAATATTTGTTGATATATTACGTAATAAAAAAAATGTTTTTCAACAGTGCAAAACAAAACTTAACGAGCCCTTATAACAGCCCAGACTATTACTCAAAAGCATTTCTATCTAAATACTCATCTCTGAATAAATAAGTAGCCTACAGTGGCTTTTTAAATCCTTAGCAGTTCATTGCATGATAACCAAAGTTCTTTCAAAAGGGGTGTTCTTGTATTATTGTATATTAACAATAACAGTATTAAATAATGTTGAAAATCATGAAAATTGTTGTTCTGATGACAAAATATAAGCTATCAGCTACAAGGATATAAATATGACAGGAGCAATAACATGTTCTGGACGTTTTTAAGCATTATGTTTTAGTGAACCCTTTTGATTCAACATTTATTAATCTGGCAATCAAAGTTTTTGTATTATCCGGTGTAACGATAAAATTGCATCCGTACTGTTGTACAGGTTTAGTTATGTTATAACATTTAAAATTAATCTGTCTCCTTGAAACATCTGTTTGTAGTGTGGAATTCCCATCAGAAATACATGGAAGACTCAAACGTTCTCAAAATGTAAATTGGTTGGAAAATATATCCAAAGATTTTTTTGTCCAATGAAGCGTTAATTGGGAGCAGAGTCAGATAAAAAATTGAACCAACATCCGGTACGAAATTAGGAAGAAGTTTCGTAGCATTTGAGAGAAATTCAGAACTTAAAAAACGTTTCTACATTTCTTTTTCGACCAAATAATATCAGAATGATAAACTTATTGCTGATAATGAGATCTGTAATATGGTAGCTAAAGGTGTATTTTACTTACTGAATAAAATGATTGCTTAACTGAATTTTTTTAAATAGTTTAAATTTTTAAATACCCTCTACTTGAAGACTTTTCAAACACTCTTTTGGACCTTAAATGGTTCCACCATGGACACACACTAGATATTTTATACAGGCTGGTTAAACGTAGTAGTTATTTAACGAACACAACATCAAGATAAAATTAAGTAATATCACGAGTGAAATCCAATGTCATTTCGGCAAGTGTAAAGCTGACATGCGGAATGTGGGAGAAACTAAGATGAATTGGCAAACGAGGCATTGTGGGAGTTTTGAGAAACTACAAACGGATGTTTGGGAACAATATGGGAACAGGAAAGAAGAATTTCATATGATTACAGAGTTAACAAGGCTACAATAGAGTATACATAACTTTAAACACGTTTACTATATTATTTCATATTCAAAGTTTGTGAAAGATGAAACCAGCAGAGAGGTTTTTATATGTTTAAATGGCTAATTAGGTACATCATGCTTGTTAATGATCTTGAGTGCTCAAAATGTCCAATTGCTTAACTAAGATACAGGACTTCCCTCTATACTTGATATCTCTTTCAAAACCAATTGGAAAAAGGTATAAAAGAATAATTGTTTAAGTATAGAACCGTATCACATTTAATGGGAAATATTTTCATGGGAATTTGATTTATATGAAAACTAGCTGTTTTGTCCGCTCATAGTTCGGAAACTTTTGAATGGTAGTAAAATAAGTTCACTGCCTGTGAAATATAGTTGTATAAATTGGGAATAGTTATCGAATGGTGGAATTAAACAACAAAAAAGTAAACCGGTTTGAACAATTTGTTCTTCTTAACAAAGTCATCTTGTAAACACGTATTTCTTCAGGGTGAATTAAGTGAAATGGTCACCAATTTGTGTTCATAATAAATGCTTGTACATTTAGCATTTTATAAAAATTACGATTTAGCGAATTTCCTTATAGGGAAGTAGCTATTGCCATAGGTCTCGTGGTAAGACCTAGGCCCGGGACCGATTTCCTTTTTCATTTTGATGTCCCCAGAGGCCAAAAACACCATTTGTTCAAATTATATATTTATGTCCGTCCAGACGATAACTTGAGTAATTTTAGTCTGATTTTGATACAATTTGTTTTGAAGGTAAGGCCGGATAAACTTGAATGGGTTCGCGAACCAGTTCGGGAACGGAGTTTAACGGGGGATTTTATGGGGTAAAAATGGGGTTTTCTAATTTTTTACCCTTAAAACACTAAATTTATCAACTTTCTCCAGGCCTTTTTAAAGAGCTAAAAATGTTTTTTATTGTATATCAAAGTGATTTTGTACGGTGATTGATTACAGAGAAAATTTAAAAAAATTTTAATTTAAAATTCCCATGTTATTCTTATGGAAAATATTGTAAAATTTTGTAGTTGGCTTGTTTATAGATAATATCTATATTATATTATATTATATTTTTATCAAACTTGGCGGATTTATTTATTTCATACTAAGCTATTGATATTTTAAAAAACGCGCTTTATTAGTTTCCCTGTAGTAGCTAACGTAGGTACCGTACTCATTAAACATAAATGTTAATTAATGGATTAATTGAAAATCAATCCAGGCAAATGGAGATTCGCTTAGTCGGCAGGTTTGCTGCAGCAGGGTATTTTTATTTGTTTCATTTGTTTATTTGGGTGCCAAACTGGTGAAACGAGAACAAACCTCTCTCAAATTAAACCTTACCCTTAACAAAATGTCCTCAAGTACAGTAAGTTAATTGCCTGATTAATGATACCAAATTATCTTTCATCGGGGAAGAAATAAAAAACGAAGTGAAAAGTTTCAAAGACAATTAGAAAACCATCCAAATCTACTGAAAGTAAACCTTCTTGATACCAGCGAATACACATTTAGGCTTAAACGAATTAATTCATGCAATTAGCTTTCCAAATGGTTTATGTTTAAATTTGTTAAAAATGTTGTATGTGTTTTTGTTAGTGCACTCGTTGAAGTGTATCCAACCCTTGTAAAATTGACATCAATTTTCTGTTCTAGTAATAAGATCTTTAAATAAATACTTGTTAAAAATATGGGTCTTTTGAATAGTATCTACAATTATTGTGTTTAGTTCAAATATTAAATTACCTACCATTGATCTTAGAACACTAGTTTCGTCATGTCAAACATATTCCCTTTAGTTTATCCCCCTTAAGCCGGGTTTTCCTAGAAGCGTAGTCGGCCAGCGGAGAGAGGAACGCGGAGAGCGGACTCAGCTTGTCTTAGGTAATTTAATGTTACTGTTTTCCTAGCAGCGGAGCGGAATGCCATGTTAATTTCAATTCCGCTCTCCGCGTTCCTCTCTCCGCTGGCCGACTCCGCGTCTAGGAAAACCCAGCTTTAGCCCCCCCCACCCCCTCCCTACGTATACGGTACAAAGTCATATGATATTGTATCTAATTTGCGTCTGTTCACATCGTTTGATAAACACCAAGTGACATGAATAATTACTCATCACTTCCTCCAAATGCATTATCACATGTGATGTATATTACAACCTTATGAGTTTCAAACGTAATCATCCATCAACGTAATTGTGTGCTTAACATCAATGTATCCAAAGCGGTCATGTATTTATTTCAATAGCGCGTCATTTATGGCGAAGGAGAATTTTTATGCTGATTTTGACAGTACAGTTCTAAATTTTAGAGTCTTGAATATTTTAATGTCTTTTGGGAGTGTAGGATAATGAATTGCCTTTATTCCAATATTCAAAGCATTCTGTGAAAGTGTTGGTCTCATTTAATTGCTTTTGAGGAAATAAATGAATTGATTAGTTTCTATAGTTAGGACAAAGAGGAATTTTGATAAAAGTATATGGGGCCCTGTTGAGGTTATGACCCTCGTTAAAATTTAAGTTTTTGTTTCACAGATTTTAGTTTAGGTTATATGTTTGATTCCAGGAAATCTTAATCGTTAGAGAGCTTACCGACTTAATGTATGAGTTTGTTTAAATTTTGCCTAGTAAATTTGTCTCATTGTGAAATTAAAAACCCCATTACGATAGTTAATGTTGTAGCTAATTTTGTAAGTTAGGGTGTTTTAACCACTTTTTTACAACACTAGTCTAAACATCAGCTAATAGATAGTTTAAGGACAATTTAAGGTATGTCTATGTCATGTAACACTTTATTGTAAAAAAAATGCATCTCTTTTTATAGGCTGCATGGCACATTTTAAAATCATTATGCCAAAATAAAACTATTCATTATTTGTGACTTCTGTTTGTACTCTGATAATAGAACCAAATAGAAGGACATCCACTGTAAAACGCTAGAATCGCTAGATAGAAACATTTCGGTCTAGTCAGAGTTACTAAACAATGAAAACCCCGAAAAAGAACTTCAGAATTCACAATAGTATGATAAGGCAGACCGTTTCATTCAATGTCTAATGTTTTGATGGTAATTTTATTTCATGTGGTGGCAGATGTAACAGTACACTTTGTACAGTTTTACTAACAAATATAAATAAATCGTAAAAATAAACATTGCTTCAAGTAATCAGAAACTCAAAATAATCATTGTCCACCAAACAATAGTAATTCATAAAATTGACATTCAATATTAATGGTTATCACATTTTGAAGTGCATAGTGAACGCGGAAAGACTGAACTAACAGACATTATTTATCTTCCGAATTTAAATATTATTTGAATGTTCAAAATCTTAAATCTTAAAGGCAATTGGTTAATTCAGGTTGGCCATTTTCAAATCAGAGTTAAACAGAATTATGCTGTCGGTAATAATATTTCTTTATAATTGTGTCATATGTATGACTAATTTTTTCATTTAGATAAGGGCACAACGTATAATTTAAGCTAAACCTAAGTCTGAACTGAGTAAGGTATTCTGTAAAGCTTTCGCTCACTAATTAAGATCATCTGGTTAATTATCCTTGATCATATGAAAAACTCGATCAAGGACAATTTGTTCAGTTTCGAATCATCTAAAAGCTACTTTCCTTAAGACCACCCTCTGATTATTGTTCGAGCAAATTATAATAATTCGAATTCTATCACGATGAAAGTCTTGAAAAGCTGTTAGATATTTTGCAAACGCAATCTGCGCACACGAATTTTCAACTCCACAAAAAACTTAATATTATACTCCTGGCAATTCAAAAAATGTAAACCAATGTGGCAGCCTGTCTACCTAACAGCCAAACCTGCTAAGACATATCCAAGGGCCTCGTACGCACCTGAGAATGTGAACTCTCCATGGCACACGATGAACTGACCATTCTACTCTCACTGACTAGGATTCTTACATCCCCCCTCCAAGGGCACGGGCACCGTGTCGTCAAATTCGGACAGACGTTTATGGTGTCTTGTGTAAGAGCTTTCTTTCATCCGACTTTATGGTGGGCAAGGTCATAGAAATGAAGATTTCCATAAGTGAGTTCATAAAGTGTGCACTGTTTGTACGATTGTGGCGTTTAGTGTACTTTCTTTTGGTGTTGGTTTTACAACCGATTTATATGTGCTGGGATAGTACAGTGCATGTATAGAGCTCAGACAGTACACGGTTGCTGGTTCAAACAATGAAAAATTTCAGAAGCGTTATTTCTAAATTAGGCTCAGCAGTCTTTTGTTGTAAACAACTATCTACTTAATGTTAATATTAGAAATAAAATAAAATGATCTGTTATTTTACCCCCGTCCTTCATTCATCTTGACTCAAAGTTCATAAATAAACAAAAATATATAAAATATTTATTATAAAATATATTTATTTATATTAGTTTGTTATATTTATGTATCATGAGTAGTACAATCTGATATATCATATTATTTAAAGCTAAATCTTTACTTTTATCTTTAAATGTATCAAATACATCTGTATTTATATGGTAAATATATTAACTTGTAATTTTACATACTTCTCTGATTGCTGAAGATTACTGTTATGCTATATGTGATGCTTCTATGTTTTATTTCTCCAATTATTTGCATACCATTATCAATCCATTTATCGGGTTTCATACCAAAATCCACATTTGCGAGTGAAAATGTTTAATTTACTGAATTTAAACTGGTTATTTTATGTTTCATCACGCTTTCTTAGTACATAAAACGGTTACAATGTAATTTGCTGGATCCACAAAACTTTATATACCTATTTTTCATGACCATATAATTGAAACATAGTCCACAAATAAAAGTGTTTGCCATGAATGAAACAGTAAAGAACTTTATTATGTTCTTATTAATGTACGATAGTTAAAATGCAATAATATGCAAGGAATAAGGGAAATGAAAGGTCTCCTTGCAAAAAAAGAGGTATACAGTACCATATTGTTTGTGGGTATTAAAAATTAATGTATTGTTCGTCGCAGTAACATATTGGAGTAACAGGGTTATCCCCTTTTTACTAACGGCGATTAGTGGTTTTGTTATAACCAATAACAATCTAATTCTCAAACTATTCCGAAAAACAATGTTTACCTCTTCCGATACGTCATATAATAACAAAATCCATCGCCACAGAGTTTGTCATGATCATATTACAATAACAATTTTATTAACCTGGAGTTAAACTCGATTGTTATTAAGCAGGTTTAAATTAAACAATGATCACCCAAACATAACATTTACGTTTTGAACTAAACGTTATTCGGGGAATATTTCATTATTTTATCCCCAATAAAAATATTCTGTTTTCTTTTACTTTTCTTTGAAAATATAAATATGCAAAATCTTCGTATTTTAAAGTCAATTCTTCTTTATTGAAAAGAAACATATTGCATACGTTGAGATGCGTAATGAACAATAGATTGTTGACAATTCTGGTGAGTGGTTTGTCTAAAGGTTTAAAGGCCTCTGTCATGGTGATCAAAGTTCGATTTCTGCCAAAACCCAATAATGATTAAGAGCATCATCCTACTATCCTCCTCTCTGTGTGTCCTATATTAGAGATTTCCCTCCATGATAACTATTTCGACATAAATGTTGTATTATATTACACTAGCTGTTGTACCCGTGCTTTGCAACGGGAAGAGGACACAAAATAGAAACATTTTAATCATTATCTCTTGCATATAATAGTTACAGATCCGCCAACGCTTTTAGAAACAAAATTCAACTTTTATAGCCTTAATAGAAACGTTTAAGTCATGACTTTTAAATCTGGTAAGTAGTGGATACCACCATTTTGGTTTTGATTAATTTTAAATCTTGTGGAGGCTGATATGAGAAAATCTGACCAAATCTTCGAGTAAAACTTGAACATGATTTACCAGATTTACCTTCATCTCCCTTAATTACACATCTTTTAATTTATTATTGACATTTTAAATTTCAATTTTGAAGTTGCGAAAATAATAATTATTAAATTTAAATATCTTTATATTAAACTCTTCTTTATATTAAATCGCAAATCCTTTCATCTTCAGTTTTTTCACTCACAATAAATCATTAGCAAAACTAAGTCAGCTGTTATAAACTTTAGAAATATTGCTGTGCCTTATCAATACAGTATTTTAAAATATTAAAGAAACTATATCCATAGGTACTATAAAAAATTTCAAACAAATAATTTAGCATTAAAGACAGCAGACAAAACTAATATGATTATCAAAGCATCAAGGACTAAAAAATGTAATAGCAAATACAGAATATGTTTCATTGCATCTCTGATTCTACTATACAAAAATATCAACAAACAACTTAATATACAAACCAGTTCTTTTAATCATTTCCATCGTCCATTGCCTTTACATTTTCACACTTACCATTAGGAAAACATAGTAACAGATATTTCATTGATTTTAAAAACAAAAGAACACTGTGTACTGCTTAGTTTTATGATATTTTCCTTGGTTTAATTTAATCAGTGGTGTGGCAAAACACAAACAATAAATTTATCAAATAAAGTAAAATTTGAACTGAAAGCTATGTTAAGATAAAATAAGAGTATTTTGTATTTCCGCACATATACAACAGATTTTAGAAAACAAAAATCAAAGACAATTTAGTTATTGATGGTATTCTTTAGTTTAATTTAAGCATAGGTTTAGCAAAACACAATAACTTAATTTACCTAAATATACATATAAAAAACAATGTGATGTGCAAATTATAGTTAATCTAACACATGTGAAGCAGTTTGAATTTATTTAAAGTAGCCTCCAAATTCATACAAAACATCTATACATTGTAATTTTCATACTGTTTCCATGAAAACATATCAATAACATTATTTTAACTTAAGATTATTAACTTAAGACGCTTTAAAAAATCCAAAGCAGAGCCGGAGTTGATACAGCAACGGTTAGAAAATCTTTTTTTTTCTATAATCATTGACATAGTTTTAGAATAAATAATCCATGATAAAATGTTAGATCAAAATAAACCTACCTCATATTTATGGAAAATATTATTTCTTTGTATCAGCTGTCTGAAATTGTGAAATATGCAGTTTAGCAGTTCTTCTTGTTTATATTTAAATGTCAAAGCAAATGTAAACAAACATTGTTAGTGTTCTCATCACAGCCATGGAGACCAATCAATATTTACTTTTAAAATGTTCACCTAAGAACTTTTAAAACCAAAGGGGCAAAAGTTTACGGTCAGTATCGAAATGTGAATAGTCCTATAATGGTCCTTGGTATGGTAACTATATTTTTGTAAAATGTAAGCCCAGTTAGTTCAGTAGTTTTTGCACCTATTAGTAATACACATACAGACAGACACCATTAGATTTTTATATAATAGTATAGATAGATTATATCTTCCTTCCTTTTATTTATATGCATGAATAAATGATTAACACCCTTTGTATTGTACTGTCTGCACTCAATCAGAGATATTAGATAGCTACTTACTTTTCATAATACAATCTGGAAATGGAATAATCTTAACAGGAAAGTAACGGTAAAAATGTATTTCACAGACTTGTATGATTAACTTTGCAAATCGAACGAAGAAGGGACGTTTTGAATTAATTTATTCTGATTGTTTAAGGCCTTTCAAAATATAAGGTAAATTTAAATAAACGATAAATTATTTTAAGAATACTATTATAATGATTATTATTTAAATTAACTAAAAAATTGAAGTTGCAAATCTATATATTAATAGGCAAGCACGTTTCTTTAAAACCTTTTTTCTCAGCTCATGATCATCACAGGAGAAATCTATGCATACTGTTAGAAATATATTTTCCTGTAGATGTGCAGTATCCCTTTATAAACTAATATAGGCTAAAAAATAAGCAAAAAAAATGAATTTTAAATGTTAAGAAAATCAACGTGGACCGTTTGCTATGCTGGTGACGAAATAACAGCACAATATGTATAAACATAAAATCAAAACATAGGAAAGAAACTCCAAACACATGTTTTAAGTGAAAATAGAGAAGTCTCTACATTTCGTATTTTTTGTTGAGTTTTCTACTACTGGACGACCTCTAGTATAAATAAAACTGCTGACTTATAGTTTTATTAAAATTTGTAACTTCAAGCCCTTTTTTTATGTAAACAGCTGTTATAAATAAATAAATATAAGAAATTAAATGTTTTAAGCCGCAGTTCATCGGGTTAATCATTTATGAATTAACTAATTAAATTAATTAATATTCAAATCTGCCAAAGAGACTGATTGGCTCCAAACATTTAAAAATAAACCTATTAAACTATCAACAAATTAAAATCAAACAATAGTAACGTCATGTCATAACACTATGCATAGTGAAATAAATGTAGCAGGTGTATTAAAACCCCTCTAACGTATTTTTTTACAACATATCACATAATTGTACCACTACAAATACTTCATGAACATACCACATACTTTCATTTATACTTGAATTAAATAACAGAAATCTAATAAAATACAATACGTGAATTTGGTTAAATATCTTAAATTTGGAGTGTTTAGGTCGGAATTCGACTTATTTAAGTTCAAGAAATTTTTTACTCAACATCGTAACAATTCTGTTACCCAACAGTTCTGTCATTAACCTTCAAAGTCAAATGTTCATATACATTTATCTTCCGTATCCGCTAACTGTCCCGTTTATACTTCCATTTCCCTTTCTGCTTAGACTTCCGGTGACCGTGACAGCGGCCAGTTTAAACCGTTATACCGTTATTGGATACAGCAATTTGGGGAAAGACGTTATTGGATATTGGATGACGATCATTGGATAGGCTTTGGCCTATGTAAGGGCATGGTTATTATCATTATTTAAGTTGTACAGCGTTTTCGAAAGGGCTCTTAAAT